CCACACGGTAAATATAACCTAGTTATACCATTAGAAGCTACGTATTTTTTTTATTTATATACATAGACTTATAGTTCAACAAGAAAACATTTATTCATTTAATGGTTAGCTAACATTTTCTGGATCAATTATATATAGGCCACTTAATCATGCTTAAGAGTAGAGGTCGTTGGATCACACATTTTTTAGTTTAATGGCAGTTGCTCATTTTCAATAACTCAATAATGCAAATTAAGTTGATCTGAAAATTAGGTACCAGATGCATATAAATAATGATTTATAGTTAAATGCACATTAGGAAGTTGATTCAAATTGCCGAAACGATTAAAAACTACATTTTAACTGTTTTGTTCAAATGCGCCAAGACTATCTTTTTAGTTTTGACTTCATTCGTTTTCACTTTTATTTGTTATATTGCAAGTTTCTTAAATCAAAARTGCATTTTATAATAAAACCTGAACACTAACAAGTAACAATAGTATACCCTTTTGATGCAAATAAAATCAAAGTAATAATACTTAAAAATCTAAATCTATTTTTTCATGTGATAGGACTATTATTATCGCTAATTCGCTGTCCTCTGGTGGTGCACAAGTACGGACGTTGTCTGCATTGAACGTGATTGTTACCTCTAGGAGAACTCGTCACCACCTCGGCGGTCTTAGGGGTTGTGCTGCAGGCGGTGACGGTGTCCCTGCATGCTTCCGGTTTCGCGTCATCGACGCGTCGACAGTCGGAAACGTTTCGGGCGAATAACGATGTGGCGCTGGACGCTCCGCATTGCTTTCATCAGTAATCGCAGACCACGTCTGACAAGCGACTGCGGCGCGAGTGGACGTCGTTGCTGAACGGATCGGTTGCCGCCGTCTCTGGGACAGCCATCATTACCGATGGCATTCGCTTTGGCTGATCTGCAGCCGCACGGTTCGCCCAATCGGAACAGGCCGCACGCCAGCGTCCTAAGCACCGGCGACAGGACGCACACGCCGACCATGAACGTGGAAAACGGGGCAAACGCGTTGTAAGCGGCCGCCAAAACGATCCGGGCTGTGGCCAGGGCGATGATGGTGGCCGCGCACAGGCCGTGCAACAACACGTACCGATCTTCCTGTCGCTCTCGTTCCGCGCTGCCGTCGCGAGCGCCGCCAAAGTCCGTATTCGCGGCCGGTCGAATTATCTGCAGCTCGGCTGCAGCGTCACCGATGCCGTCGTCTTCTACTGATCCTTCGCACACGATCATCTCGCGAATTGCCGGGCGCACAATGCCGCGACAATGACGACGACGGCCGCAGAGTATATATCATATATTTTTCGATTAATGCGCGCGCACGCTTATGCCCGTGCACGCGCGTATAACATTAATAATAATGTCATATATTTTATAAGGCCGAACGCGGCGGCCCATTAATTATTATCGACGTACTCAGATGGTATACTGCAATTTATTGTTGTGATTCATTCACGAGCACGTGCTCATGCGTTATAAAAATATATTCCGTCGATCACGGTCCTCGCCGGACACTTTTCTAGGGGGGGGGGGGCGAGATTAATTTAAAAAATAAATGAACATTTTTTTCCCATGTATGCATCATTTTAAAAGTAATCTTTGTTTACTAAATTGGCGCGTTACAGCTGATAATGCTTTGGAAAACAAATTTTAGGGGGCGAAAGTACCACTCGTCTTTCCCTAATATTATTACCTATATATATGTAGGGCTGGGATTTGTATGTAAATACATTTTTTAAGTAAAACATGATAAATTAATTATTGCAAATGATAAATTCGTTTCACGTAATTGGCAATAAAATAAGACATATTTTATTTTACACATTTTTACATATTTCGTCATAAATACATATTTTTACATAATATTTTGTAAAATTCTCGCCTTTTTTTACGAATTTCGTAAATCTTGACAATTTTGGTGGTTTAATAATATTTTAAATTTATATTTCGATAATGGTACTTGGCAAATTTTAAGTGTATCATAATGTATATAGGAAATATGTAGGTTAAAATAAATATTAATAACTTGATTTTAGTTTATATCTTATCTGTTTCTGTTCGATAACCATTAACCATACCTTAATGATTATACTTTATGTATACAGCAGAGTGAAATCCATGACTTACCCGCTTTTTTATTTTCAACTACATATTTTGGCAATTTTAATTACATATATATGTACATATTTTTGGTTTTATATTACTTATAAATCCCAGCCCTACCTTTATGTTTTGTTTATGCTTAAAATTTGTTAAATAATATTATTTATTAGTATGTCCACATTAGAACTTTTTTTTCTTTTTGTAACAAAGAAGTAAAAATTAATCGTAKTAAGAATAAAAATAGGAAATACACCGTATAGACTTCAATGATGCGTGCATTATATTGCGTTGTCAGGGAGATATCGACGTTTATTGCGTGTCACATATATTTATCATTTGTTTAAATGTAATACATATTATAATATATTATATTGTGGATATTAAATGTAAAAAAAAAAATGATCTTTAATGTTATATTATAAAACGTACAAATAATTATGTGTAGTATTATGTACTACGGACTAGCGTGCCRCATTGCTTAGTTCACGGTCAACTAGGTAATACATAATATTATGTAAATAACACCTGAGTGTGGAACACCTTACCAAGGGGACGGTTAATTAAAYATAATAACAATAGTAGATTATGGGATGCATAGGAAGGTGAGGCAATAATTAGTATAGTCGTAATTAAGCGATTCGTGGAAATATGTAACATTTAAAAAAGTTATAAACGTGTAAGGTAACGGATATAAGGGGTATTATATTATAGATGGGCGTTGTGCAGTATATACACGGGACGCAAGGTTCATGGACAAGAGTTCCGGGAAACGATGGTCGGAACATGAATATTTCGACATAATGATTGAATAAGAGTTGTTATAGGCATGTAACTATTATTGATAATGCGGCTGCACGGGATGCGCTCTTTCCTGGAGCGCGGGAAGTCGGCATTTCCGTTGGTAGTTGGCGGTTACCTGCAGCATCCGTATATAGGAACAGAAATGATACCGCCGCATATGGGCTTAGAGGAGTAGAGGCCCGAAACGGCCTGTATTCAGACGTGATTTGACAAAGAGCATCAGGGCACCTTCACGCTACTTTGTTTTCTGATTAATTAATTTGTACTTAGAATGATATTCGTGCAGCATAATATTTGGACTTGGAACATAAACGAGTCAAATCGAATATTTTCACCGATCGAATTATTTAAGTCTCGCCTGTTTTGAAAAAAATAACTTTACTTTGCAATCGTATTAATGAATAAAAGTACATCTATTATCGTGGTGTACAACTTAAAACGGATGAGAATTTGGTAAAATAAGATGGGAAAATATAAGATTGGTTAATATAAAGTTTAAAGTACAGCAGACATAATAAATTCAACTTCGCTGGGTTAATGGTAACCCGTGAATCGAGATATTCTCTATTTATTTTTTGAATAATTATGTCCATGCTATACCCATGATTAATATTTATAAATATAAAATAAATAATAAAAATTAAATAAATACAAATATAAGTTTATTTATATAAAAATTGAGAATAAATTAGGTTGAGATACAATACAATAAAATAAAAATAGTAATAAAATATTCCTTTTGAGCATTTTAGTGATTTAACAATAATTAAAAAAAATCCACAATAATTTGTGACGCATAAAAACAATAATGTYTTACTTCCGTTTAAAAAATCTCGTCGTTAAATTACTTATTGGCGCTTCGACCACCAAGAATAATACTAAGCCAAATAAATAGCTTTTCAATGCGTCATACAACCAGGCATCCACCTAAAAAAAAAAAAAAATGCGATTACAAAATTAATAGAAAATACAATAATTATTTTAAAATGTATTAGTGATTTTGATATGTTGATTGTATTATGCTAATATTCGAATAATGATTTCCGTCTTACCAAAGTTTGTTTTGAAAGATAATTTGGAAATCTCATTCGACTCTGTGATATCATCATAATAGTGAGGTTGACTAAGAAAACGGAATACGAAAGTCTTCCCATTGTTACCATTAATCTATTACTGAGTAATTTTGTTAGTAGTAGTCCTGAAAACAGTACACAATTCATGGTATGAAAAAGATTTAGTTTACTTTTACGCCATTTCAACTTCGATGCCGATACCCCACGGGACTAGTTATTTATGGTCAGATTTGCTTTTTTTTTTTAATTTTAATACGTATTTGCAATATTTGCATATCAATATGTATATTATTCGGAAAATCACGTCCATTAAATTCTATGAAAAACAATTAGTCATTGGATAGCTTAATTTATGAGATTTTCTGAGAGTAATGAATAAAAAAAAAGTTTTTGAATAGATTAAAGAACGGCGAAAGAGTAAATATTACCGAAACTTATATTTCTATTCATGTGAAAAAAGTGGTAATCGAGTCGAATAGTAATCGAAAATCGAAATACAATGAATTATGGAATACATCAATAACTCGAATCGGTTGGAAACATAATGTAAAATCTTGCAATAAATTTTTTTTCGAGCAAAAAATGTAAAGACTAACAATAACTATCTAATGCCGTGTAAACAAAATTTAACTTACCATAACCACTTGTGAAATGGCAAGTAAGTAACCAGGAAAATAGTATGACCCATGTACAATGATTTAAAGTTGAGTATAGAGCTTGTTCTAATAGATAATAAGGTCTATCCCTCTCATAAAATATAGTTCCATAAAACTGAACCCATAAACAGATCACGGCAACAGTGAATGTCCCTAAGTGTACAGTAATCTAAAATATCAAACATTTAAATTTATTGTTTCARTAATTCATAAACAATTTTTTATAAAACATATTAAGTTAGTATAGATAATTAGATACTTACTTGCGAAAATTTTACTTTGTTTTCCTTTAGTTTTTCAATGATTATACCTGTTGCTATACCTATAAAAAAAGGGAAAGCTCGCACGTAACTTGCTCTGTACGACTCATTAAATGTTACAGAATATCTTGTGTTTTCTAAGAATCTGAAAATGATTTTYTATTTAAAACCCTTTATTAGAATTCAATAATAAATTGTCTTTTAATTATTCAAAKGTCTAAACATAAACAACGCTAAAAACTAAGCGTTCGATCTTAAATTTATCATGCACTTATTAATATTTATTTAATTATTTTGATWAGCACAATAATACCAAGTATACAAACGTCTTGAGTAGGTATAGTAAAGTAACAGTGTCATTAGGTAGTTACTCAAAATGAGTATGTCACATCATTGATTGATTTGTAATTTTAGTGTTATATTATAAATTTAACTCACGGAATAAGTATTTTAATTATGCCTTCCCTCTTTGTCATTATCGTGATTATAAATGGCACAGATATCGATACACCAAGCACTGCAATTAACAATCCGATCCCGAATTTAATGTTCTTCGCGTAAATGTAAACAATAATGATGCCAAGTATGCAAAACTGAATATCACACGATATGTACCAACTGATTATGAGACACTGCAATAGTTGTGCACAATYAACAATTAGAMATTTACGATTTTACACGTTCTTACTCATATGGTACTGCCTAATTTAAATAATATTATTTAATATAATAGTGTATGTATTTTATTTATTCTCCAGATAGAAAATGATTCCTCCTCGCAACTGAACAATGATGATATGTATATGTAGCTTATAATATTATAATGTATATGCACTAAGATTGGTCATTAAATTAAAATAAAATAATAGTAAAATGTTGTTSAGTACTCACTTCATACTTGGAATCAATCAAATTACTTATGAACAACATATTCGTCCACCAATAGTTTTTACATATTTCGGCTTCGTCCCAGGTTCTATAAGGCCATAGTGGGCCGTTTCCGAGGTGAGGCAAGATGTGAGCCGTGAACGCCATTATCACACAATAAGCCGGTAATATTCTAAAATCATTTTAGAATAATATATTGTTATGATGGCTRATGGGAATGCTTATTGGACTCGGGGCGTCAGGAATATAGCAATAACATCGGTGTAATTATAACAGTTGAAAGATATATATTTACATTGCATATATAGGTAGGTACAATTTATTATACAGTGAGACCTCATTAATCCGGACTTCRCATAATCTGTAAGTCGTTTATAATACGTAAATCATTCAAGTTTATGACGTCAAATAAACATGAAAACGAGTCGAATGTAATGATTATAATACAATTATGCACTTTTAGGTTTAATATTGTTAGATATAGACTAAAGTATTGTAAGYATAGTATAATATCCTATACAATTATTTTAAATTTATAATTTACGATTCTTTGTTATTTTGWTTGATTCGGATGACCTAGGAGTAGGACCCAATTACTCYGGATTAATGAAGATCTACTGTACTATTGAATATGTCCGACGCTTGGCTAATGTAGTTGCCAGTTGGCAACGGCTTTTCGTTGATGATGAAATTTCGAACTTCAGCCACTAATACTTAACATTAACTCGCAACTATTATGATCACTGCAATTATCTATTATCCGYACTCCAATAATAAAATTATTAAATACATTTTATTTTTAAATATACACGAAAAACAATTCGTAATTTTTTCTTTTATTTATTGAAAGTACGAAAAATAACTTTAAAATATGGAAAATTACTTAAAAAATGCAAGAAAATTTAAAAAAAGAATGCATCTAGTTTTAACAGTGTAAACTGAATCTCATTTTAAAGTATTTTACAAGACGTGAACAAATTCGTGTTTTCAAGTTAATTTCTAGTCGTTAATGATAATTATGATGAATATAAAATCCTTGTTCCATGCTTGTTTTTAATTTGGCGGATATTCTTTAGTGGTTTTTAGCCAATTACAGTTGAACTGTAATGGTTGTATAATATTAGGGTAATAAAACACCAACAATTAAATTATTAATATAATATTATTTGACATTTATAATGTTTTATTTTTATAATGTAATTGAAATTGTTTGATCTAATTCAATTCGTGATTCATCACGAATCATGGAGTAGTACTGTAAATGGTATGCGGAAAAAACGCCCAGAAAATAACCTAATGGGAAAAAAGCCCAGAAATATAAATATAAATGTGAAGACATGTACCTACCTATATTCTACTTCTAATTTAGTAATTACCATATACTTAAAACAAACTATAATAATATACATATTGTAATGAAAATAATAGTTAATTGTTATTCGTGTAAAATATAGATTGTAAATAAAATTAAAATATAAATATCAACACAATATTATTTATGTCATGATTAGAATTTACAAGACGACTAACTCATAGCTTCCTCGTGAGGCGCGAAGACCTTGCTCATTGCTTAACCWGCGGGGAAGGTCTAAACCATCAAAGACATCCTCCCACACTGCTATTACTATACCGATACCAGAACTTCTCTAAATATTCCGGATCACCTATATGAAGCACTTGGACTCAACCTTAAAAACTGCAGCATTTCATAACGTTTCTACAAAGAACTAAACTTTGTAACCTTATATAATTATATTGTCTTTTTTTCGTTTTCTATCTTTCTCTTCCTTGTATAATACTCTCAAACCTACCACAATGTAATAATTAAATTATATATAGTTTAATAATGTATCTTTAAAATGTAAGCCATTAACTTTAGCTGTAGTGACTTAAAATAAATAATAATAAAGAAAAATAAGTTGCAAGTCAGGAAACATATTAAGTAATAATAAGTAGTATATATAGTCATACTAAAATTTATACGAAAATTACACAACTATATAAATAATAATATAATAAGTTCATATAATACAGTTGGTAGTATACTATCGGAGTAGTATATTATATTTATATAACAGATAATAATAAAAGAAAATCTTAAAATTTCAAATATAAATAATTATAAGTCTGAACACCTATGACTAATGCTTATCTATATTAATCATATATGTATACCTAGGTATGTATGTATAAGTAAGCCAAGTATGGTAAACAAATATAAATATACTTATAATATTAGTTTGTAATACATATRAATATAATATAAATTGAAGTACAGAAACATTTTTACAGTTGATAATCGACAGAATTTTTCAAGGAGCAATGTCATTATTTGAGGAGATATTTTCTCGATTTCAAAAATTTTTTGAAAAGCCATGGAGGTTTATGCAGCAGCTCAACCCCTCCCCCGGGTACCTATGATTGCAAATAATTTACATATACTGTAGTAGTATGTTTTTTTAGTAATAACTGTAATAAGGTTACATTATAACTGCGGTATAATAATCAATAGAAATTATTTTTATTTTTTGATGGGGAGGGGGCAGCAAATACTTCTGTTGTATCTCCAATAAATATACCACTAAAGACTATTCACTTGTATTAGTGGTCGGCTGAAGTCAGAAAGTTGTCAATAGCCAAAAGCCATGAGCAAAGTTAACATTAACTACGCATCGGACATTTCCGTAATACTCAATGCGTTTTTTTTTTCATAACATAATATAATAAGAATCACCGTATTTGTTTTATTATTATTGTGTACGATTGTTCAATTAAATTATAATTAATTTTATTTTTTATACAATGTAGAGGGTTTTACCTGATGATTCTGTAGATAATTGGCCTACCAATATTTGCCAAAACTGGTACCTTTTGCGATTTTCTATAAATCGGTATTAATGTCGTATAAATCAGAAAACCAGTTAAGAAAAAAAATGGATCAGTTAAGTTCATACTAGTCAAATAAAGACCGTTTCCCTTGAGATACATCTGTAATCATACATTATTATTTATTGTTTTATTTTTACGGATATACAATATTCCAAAAATACACAAAATGTTGTAAATTTATTAAATAAAAACTTCAAGCAACATTTAAAGTTTGGAAATTTAATCAGATTAAAATCGGTTTTAAGAGGACTCCACACTCGCATGCGTTTTCTCCGTCTTACGAACGTAGAACATGACAAAAACTGTACTTGCGTGGGACAACTGTTCTMCCTCGGTATTTTAAAATTATCAAAATTCCAAAACTCATATCCATATATAAGAATTTTATCTGTGTCATAGCGTTGTTATTTTTTGATGGTACAAACCGATAATTTTTAATAATTCAATAAAAAAATAAAATATAATTTTTTTTTCTTAAGCCAATAACTTTAATTTATATTTATGGTATTAAAAAAAAAAGTAACGACGCTATGACACAGATAAAGTTAGAGAAATGTGGAATTTTGATAATTTTATTTTACTATAAACACTGAGGGAGAACAGTTGTTCCGCGCAAGTACAGTTTTTACTATGTTCTTTGTTCTACGTTTGTAAGACGGAGACAACGCATGCGGTTGTGGGGTCCTCTTAAACACAGTTTAAAATTTGAAAAAATATAAACAATCATTTAAACAAATCTTTAAGAATTGACGCTTTTTTGTAAATTTAGCTACACTCAATTATTCAAAATATAAAACTGACTATCATGCTTTTAAAATTTTAATTTAATTTCCCCCCTCCACCTTCATATTGACATTTAATTAAAAATATCTATAAATAATAACGTCTCAACTTACGTTTTCTAGGAATTTAGGATTACTGATTGGATTTCCAACTAGATACATAAATCTGTGACCCAATAAAATCATCATCATCAGAAATGCTTTCCAACCATTCAATATATTAAATTCGTTTTCTTTGTTGTATTTAAATAATATTTTTAATGACTGAATAAAAGAAAATGTGTAAAAAAATGATTTTGGGACTTCTCCTGGAAGGTTAAAAAAACATATGAAATACGTGATATATGTTAATTTTAATTAATTGTTAAGAATAATCGTATAAWCGTAAAAAGTATGTTACTAACTTTCGTTTTCTTTCTTCTTTCGTTGGCGAGATATTGCTATATAATGATGAGCTGTTGAAACGCCACAAATCAGAAAAATTAATCCAAAAACCAAGCTACAGCAATAAAACAAAAAAACGGGTAAGTGATGGATGCCACTCGGCTGTACACAGTAGGTTACAAGTGGGTTACAGTAATGGATGGTATTAAATTTGAATTCAATGATATAATATAATTTTATACGAACAACGTTTATGAGTATAGAGACAGTTTGTCAGTCTAGAATTATTTTATACCATATTAATTATTTTGTTATTATTTCAAAAAACAWAGTGTAGGGACTTACGTAAAATGAATTCAAAATTAATCAAARCAGATTCATTATAAATGTASCCGCGGGCCGACYCACTCAGTCATGGTCATTCATAGAATATACGATATACTATAAATTATTAGTATAAGACATAAGTCATTAATGACATTAACTATTACAATATTASAATATAAAGTATACTCTAGCAATTTCAATTTTCAAGTACCCACGAATAATATTTTTAAATTACATCAGTATAATTAAAATTGTTATTCTAAGTTTTTAATATGTAATTCCATCCAAATTCAAACTTAAAATAACTAAAAAGAATCTGTGTTTGTATACTTTTTAGATTTTTTTCGTTGCAGAATTAACTTACTACTTACGTGAAAATTTGTTTTAAATTTTAAATCCTTAGATATAAAAGTTTTAAAGATTCAAGTACCTACCCATGAAAAATATATTTAAATTACTAAAATATTACTAAAATCGTTGTTCTTGGTTATTTAATATGCAATTTCACCCGAATCGAACTTAAAATAATGACTATACAAAACAATTGTGCCTATATTATATTCCTAAGATTCATTAGTTACATAATGATTAATGAACTACTGACGTGGAACATTGATACTTTTTTAACTACTAAATAATTGTTTTAAAATTTCAAAATTTCAAATTTCAAAAAAAATTGTGCGTATGTATTTTTAATATTTTTGAACTGCTATTATAAAAAATATATCAGGAACCTTGAATTAAATTTTCAAGTTTGACACAATGAATAAAATTTTATTGATATTTACAGAAAAAAAAAAACTAAAATAACTAAGTCCGTAAACAGTATTGTGTACGCAGATATAAAAAAAACCCTCACATCATCGTAAAATCAATACATTCATTGCTTTTGCTTCGTTTAGAATCTTAAAATTGATTAAAATGAATTAATTGTTTACTTTTTGATAAATTCAAATTCTTTTTGTTTGTGAGTAATTCTTGATTTTATGATTTATAAACTGAGCATATCGATATATCTATACTATCTTTTATAATTTATTAATTCATTTGGGTATTTGAATGCAACTTTTAGAGACCTAATAGACAAAGGATCCATTGCGATATCTCCTGAGATAATAAATATAATATCATATTTACATCACAAGGGCTACATGTATTTAATTTTTTAATTCAATTAAATTTTTTGGTAAAAAAGTAAAAAAAAAATATATTTATTAATTTTTGAAAAAAAGATACCTATTTTATAGTTTATTTTTCTGAAAATTTTGACCTTTCAACATTTTATTTCCATTAATCTCACGATTTTTAATATTTTTTTTAGTTTATAGATAAAACGGCAAAAACTGATTGTTTTTATTCGAGTAATACGGCTAATGGGTATATTCTCACGAGATGCCCTGTGTACACATATAAATGCATTTTTGTCTGTTTGTCTGTCCTTTATGCATTTTTAAACGGCTGGACCGATTGCGACAAAAGTTGTTACAGAGATATATTAGACATATGCGCAGAAATTARGCTAAATTAAAAAGTGATAGGCCCAACCCCGGGAGGTGCTCGAACAGACATTTTGAGATTTACGATGGAAATTGTAGTTTATAGATGGTTGCTAATAGTGACGGTTGATTATTTATTTACTTAATATATTTTAACCGTTATCTGTCTGTATGTATAAAAATATATTGCTTGCGTAATCACAGGAAACGAATTTAACACACTGTTCGATACATATAAAAAGTAGGATTTTTAACTTTTTCAGCTGGTATATAATAAAAACGTCAAAAAATCAAATAATAATAATAATAAAAAAAAAAAACAATTACTTGGTTATGTAATATGCTGTATTGTAAGGATACATGTCTCCACTAACAGTGCACAAGAGTGGATTTACTTTAACAACGGCTTTGAACTGCTCTGGTAAAAACACCTTGTCCAATTCATTTTGCAATGATGTTTGAAGATCTGCTGCTGTACAAGAATTCGGAATGCAGATCCCTAAATTYAAGCTATTTCGTTGAACTTGGTCTGGATAATCCACCCACTGAAACGATAMAGTTGCATACAAATCAATATTTTAAATGTCACTTTTACAGTTATATCACGTCATGTTAAAACAAGTAAATATTTGATTTTTAATATTTATCTAATTTTATTTGCTAAACGGAATCAATTAGCAATTGAACAGCTGAGTAGAAAAAAGATAATATTYAAAAAATACGAAAAATAAACTGAGTTTTAGCCATTTTGTAACTGAATGGCAAATTAATTTAATGATAAGCGTATATATACCTAAAGTATAATACTTTTAGCTTTGTATTTTACGCTGAGTGACAAAAAATATTATTTTCCACTTATAAATAAACAGTTATTTTTTAATTTTCTGAATGTAGGATGTTGAGGAATATTATCCACAATTTTATTGATATTAATCACAATATACAGCCATGACTGACGGTATATCAATATTTTTTTTAAACCATTTAAGTATTTTAACATACCCCGAGTATTGTTTTCCATGCATGATTGTTGCCAAAATCGTCTAGATTTTTCGTTCTATTGAAACSATAATTTTTTCCCGACGGTGGAAATAGTTTGATTTCAGACAAACAATACTGCCCTCTTATCGGACGAAGCACATCGAYACATTCGTCATAGACCCCCATTTGATATTTATTACCTGCCAGTATACCAACGGGATACCGGTTCCAGGATTCTGACACTGAAAAATAAATGTTTTATGAATTATGCGCATAAAATATGATATGAGCCATATAAGCATAGGTACATTATGTTTTAATATTTTGATTTAGCTATTCGCGCGATACACACTTTAGATCGTAATCTTAACATATTATATAATATTGTCATTTCCTGTCTCCCTTATTAAATTGATTAATTAACGTTTAAAATATAAAATATTATTGCTTATAAGATACCAGAATTTTATATCGTTATTTCAATAGTGTTTTATGTATTTTTAAAATCCTTTGTCGTGCAATGACAATACGTGAAACATATATGTATACATTATATATAATATTATATTTCCAACCTGTATGAACAATGGTCCAATTTCGCCCATTGGTAATTATTTGCGCAGTACTATGTACCTGCCTTATTAGTTATTACCTATATCTATTATGGTTATTTATAAATAGGTGTAGAGATTATTACGGTATAATAGAGATAATAATTATCATCCGCTAAGCCGTAAATTCATATAAAAATAGTTAGGATAGCATGATAAAGGCTATCTGTAACTCAGTGGCGTATTTACAATTTTTGATTAGGGGGAGGGGTGTCATATCATAATAAAATAATTTATAGATTAGAAGATATAAAATACTTAAACTTAATTCAACCTATTTTTATATCAACTATAGTTATATTAGAATTAAAATTAAAAATCACAAATTGTATTATAAAATCTAGTTTTCTTTTTTTCTTTGCCAATTCATCAATAATTTAAGGTCTCCAGACGCATTCAATAATTCTTTGGGGGAGAGCTCTCCCCCCATAAATACGCCACTAGTGTAACTATTTATACATTATACATCTAGAATTCAATTTTAGTCGCTGCATTAAGCCCAAAGAAAAATTAGCAATAATATTCTCAGGTAAAGTAGTATAAATAATTATTATCTTAATTTGAATTGATTTGTCTGATAATACCATTATAATATGTATATAGATACAATATCAATTTGTAAATTTAATGCATTCAATTTAAAAATAAAAATAAAAAATACAAACAAATTAAGTTATAAAAAAGACTCAAAAAAGCCATGAATGGCGGAACTGTTGTCGGATACACGAACATATTTTAGTATAAATCAGTGTATGTTAATTAAATAATTATTTTTATAATTGTAAATACATTATCATTTATAATATTTATTTAACATATTCTACTAAAAAACAAAATTCTCTTCCGGGTAATTAATATATATATTTTACATTACAATTATTTTTTCCAACACAAATTAATTAAATGTTGTTGAAACTTAAGTAGTATTTGTTTTGTTCACATTAAAATGTATTTCGACATTTTATATACCTATATTTTACATAAATATAAATTATTATTTATTTTAATTAAATCATTACCTAGCTAATCCAAGACATGTTGGTACTACATTTTTATATTATTTCCTTTTAATATTTTATTTTTTATTTTTTTAAACATATTTATTTTAATTTGTACAATATGTAACAGAAATTTACAATAAACACAATGGAGGGTTATATAGTAGGTCGTGGTTGACTTGGTTGAAGAAGCTATTCAGTAATAGCACTTCATGGCGAGATAGTTATATAATATAATAATAAGACCTTTTAATATTAAAGTTTTTTTTCAGTTTGTTATAAACTTATTCAATAAACAAAAACAAACAATAGTATATAGTATGGTATTATATCAATATTACCATCAGTTTATACCAATCATGATGAGTTTATTTTGTTTATTTATTTTAGATAAATAAAATATTTTTAATGTCATTTTCGGTTTTTTGTTTCATCATAATGACTACAGTTGGATGCAATTTTCAACTTTATTGACATACAAATAAAGAAATTAAATATGGAATAATTATATATTATCATTAAATGAAAAACTTTTAATAATGAATGATTGCATAATATTATTTATTATTCACATTCGCTCATGATACAAAAATGTGTCTCATTTGCCATTTAATAAACTTAAACTTCATAAGTTTACAATCCTCACTCATACCTATCGTTGAAAATTAAGTGCAGGTTTTTAGTTTTTTAGACAAAATAACAACGGAAAAGAAAAAATACAACTTAGGTGCTTACAAATTTATATCTAAATTACACAATTATTCAACAAAACAAAACATTATGTACATTAGAAACTTGTATTTTTGTTTTTTTGTAGTGTTTTTTTATACATAACTCTATATGCTTATCTAATTTGTGACTTTTTTAAAACAGAACAAATCCTGGAGTCACGAAAATTATTTTAACTACTATTCGATTTTTTAAGCATACCTTCAAATTTAAAAAACTATGTCATTTAGATATATCAGATAATTATTAATCGATGTACAGTGTACACAATATAAWGTCTTATAGAGGTAATTTTTAATCAGTGTCTCAAAATCATAATTTTCCATGTGCAATGATTTCATTATTTTATAACTACTTAATAATATCGACATCGCACTGTTCATAATTATAATATGTTCTGTTGCTGAACATGTGAAGAGGACGTGATACCCACATTTGTTTTCTCCGTATTACATGTGCGTAACATAACAAATAATTTTTTATGCTCAGCAGATCACGTTTAACTCCGTTAGTTCTAAAATTAGAGTAAATTGACCTCTTATAAAATTTTAAGGTAAAAATATTATATAGACGAACTCGTGGGCTTTTTACTGTATTTTAATTTTGAAGCCAGTTATAAAATATATAAAATTATAAATATTTTGTACACCTTAACATACTTATAACTCGCTTCAAAATTAAAATATAGTAAAAAGCCCACTAGGTCGTCTAAATAATATTCTTACCTTTAAATATTATAAGAGGTCGATTCACTCTAAAATTTGCTATGTTACGCACTTGTAAGACGGAGACTACACATGCGACGTCCTCTTAAACGAGATCTGGTCTCTGTATTTGGTATTTGAACTATTACGAAAGTGAAAAAAATAAATTTTGTAGAACTATAGTTTAATATGTTCTGTGTTTTTACTTACTAGGTACTTATATGTTTATGACATAATTATAATTTAGAGAAGTAGTGATAATTTTTCGTTCTAAGTTATAATTAAAATAATTATAAAGTAGTTTGTTTTCTCACGTAGGTACTTAAAATTAATGTAATGATTAATGAACACCGAGTACTGAGGAATATTCATTTTACTTGCATGAATGTATTTCTATTATTTTTTATCTCTCTTATATAATAACTGAATCAAATTATACACTCGGAAAAATAAATTTCGTACACATCCTAGGTATTTTTTTTTAATTACGTAAATAAAGTTTTCGCTATTTTACATATTTTTCGATACATCTAGTTCAGAAAAATATTGCGATGGCTATTATTTAATCAAAACATCCGGGTATACATGGAAAAAAAATATAAAATTCGAGAACAAAATTATATTCCTGTAATTTCTAAAAATAGGTACATTAATTGTAAATTGATATATTGCAAGAAAATCTTTAAAAATAAAAATTATGAGGGATGCCCTTTAAAAAGTTTAACACGGTTTTCTTTTGTGCATTGATTTAACACGTTCGTTGTTCAATATTTCGTCCCATTCTTTATATATTTCTTCATTTGGGTGGATTATCTTCACATGTATCCGCCTATTCAAATTTAGTTTATGCGTTAAACCATAAAAAGTTGATAAATCTCTATATTTTTGCATCGTGTCATTATTAATACATAATAACGAAACTCTTCTTCAACCGAACTTGGATTTATTCAAAAATAATAGAATGGATATTGATTGACATAGAAAAAAATCCAATTTAACAAAGATATGTTTTTGGACTGAAAAGTACAATTTTCTAATCGATTTCGAGTCATCATTTTTGCTTTATTGTACCTAACCTATACGTTGCTCACTTGCAGTAGCGCCGATCATCTAATTCAAGTATATAACATATGCAATAATAGAAAAATATGTTTAATTTGTGCCTTGCGGGGAGGGGCGCTGTAAGACACTGCTGGGTACTGCACCCAAAATATACGTTTAAACGTAAACATATACGACTAAACATTAAATTACTTATTTTCGTACGGACATTTCCGCAGCCCCCCAATTTGAAAATTGTACATCAAAATATTACTGAGGGTTTGTAAGTCGTTTGTAAAGATTTGTAAAAACAAAATTTTCGTTTGTAAATAAAACCTCAAAAAGTTATACCTATTTCGTAGATGCTTTGATTTGTATCTAATAGTTAAACTATAAAAATAGGTGATCATGGGGGAGGGGCCTGCTTGATATACGACGATAATATTGTCATAGTATATTTTAAACACTTCGGCGTCACTGGTTGCCCATACAAATCGAAATAATATATATTACGTTACCATAGAAACCTCGTCAATATACATTTTTCGTCGTATGATTGAAATATTGAATTAAACTTTTTTGAGTTTCATTGAATCATTAGTATAGTCACTTTAGAACTCATCTTTATGAATAGAATTGTTTGGAATTTGTAATTATGAATTCGAATTACAAACTCAAAAATGTATCCAATATTAAAATGTCAAAGTTAAACTGTACGTTAGATGATCGTAGACGCTAACAAAGCCAAAGTTACAAGAGACGTAAATTACTCAAATACTTAAACAAGAAAATATAATACCCGCGATTTCGTAACTGTCGGCAACGAAGTTGTTTTCGCTAGAATTGTCAAACCAATGATATGTTCGATTACCATATATCCATAATATGATATATTATAAATATGAAAATACATAATACGTATATTATTATAAAAATTAAAGTCTGAAAATAATACGACTTGAGAGGGTGTGGCCCACCCCCATTATTACATCTATTTTGAAACTGAGCAATATTTTTAAAAACTATATCTATAATATATGAACATCGATTAAATGTTATTCAACAAGACAACAAACCAACAAACCATTCCCTAAATATAAAAATGCTATTTTTTGTAATAGGTTTTATTGGTTTTATTTTTGATGGGGGTCAACTAGACCCCTGCATGCTCTTACTTAAGGATTAAGAACATTGGTATTAAATTCTAACTCGATAAATCTAATATACTTAAAAATGCTGTTATTGCTAAGGTAATACTACRTTTTAATCGGACTTATTACCATGATGTACAATCGTATAATAAAAAGTAACGTAGTATTACCTACATAATACGCACAATATATGTCGCAAGTCGCTGAAAAATAAATCAGCGACATWTATTTATTTTGATCGACCGYACATGACACGATGATGATGATGCATGGTTAATAAATAATACGCATATAATCTCCAATAATGATATAATATAATATATGTATATGATACTCACTCCTAACAGCCCAACTGGTGTAGTTTCGTAAGTTGTTGTCGTAAATCTCGACATCTTTGCGGCACTCGGATGAGCTCCCTATGTGTCGCACGGTGAAATTCGCCAACGCTTGGTAGAAAAGATCAGAGACCCACGACCCAGGAATTCCGGTATCCTGAGCACTGGATACATCATTTAACGGTACAGAGGACTCGTTATTGGACAGTGCAAAGGACTCGTTATTGGACGCTGCTTGACCGTCGGAGTACTCGGTCGACACCAGAGCGATCAGCACGATCAAAACCACCGCGGGTGGGCAAAACGGCATTTCGAAGCCGTCCACGTATAATAATAATTATTGTTCCGATCTACCAGAGATTATAATAGAGACCCCTCAGACGAAAAATATTTGGTCCTGATGGTTTATTTTCCACACCACGTACGATGTATCTAGTAGTATAATAATATATAATATCAATTATTATTAATACTATTATTATTGTTCGCTTGCACTCGTACGTGCCTAATTATAGCGGTAAAATTGAGCGCATTCATAAAGTCTCAATACACTCGTATACTCGTCAAACATGRAAATTGGAATGTTACGTAAAGTTAACCGATAAAACTTGGATGAACGTCGTCGGTATCTGACGGTCAAGTGCGGAATAGTTATATAGTACGCGCACAGATATTATACGTGGTGGTAACGCGTGAGACAACCTTGCCAAAAACGACGAGGGAAGTAGAGAAATACATCCAAAGTGCATAAAAAAAAATATATGACAATATACATTTAGATTTTTAATAGTTTCCGTAATAAATACTTACTAGAAACTTATATGAAACTTCCAATCTTTAGCTACACAATTTAAACATAATGTCATATACATTTTCAATTAYAAAATAATTTGAAAATGTTCGTCGTTTTGATGAACTTTATCAAGGTATAACTATATAATTGAAAAAGTTAATTTTCACGTAGTTATATTATGAAGTTCGAAAGTTCATTTAAATCAATATTGAAAATAATTCGTATGTTAATTCACATACCTGTAGGCTGTAGACTACTCATAACAGTCATAAGTTACAACTCATAACCAATTTGGTAATTGGGAACCAACTCTAGGGTTCTTTTTTTTTTTCTTTTTTTTTTTATTGATCTTAATATTAACATCGGTGACAAAGGTCATTGGTTACAATTAGCATTTACAATTTTTTTTTTTTTATATATTGTACAGTTTAGTTTTGCTTAAAAATTTGTTTGATGGTGTTTGCGTCTTGTCCAAATGCTGCGTCTAATGTGTTGGGTATGTTGAAGTTTCYGTGTTCATCTGTGTATTGGAGACATWCGGTGATTATTTGGTTGACTGTGAGTTCGGTTCCACAAGAAGTGCACCGTGGTTTTTCTCCTACTCGTAAGGTTCTATATTTGTAAAAGTACATTCCATAATTTGGATATCATACATAACCATACAACCGATTCAATTAGTTAATTTCAGTTTTCATTATATTCGTAAGCTCCGAGTATTACACAAGCACACTGGTTTTTTTTTAAGAGTTATAATGAGTTAAAATTAGATATTTCAATAAAATAAAGATTCAAACAACCCGGTTGTAAACTTGTAAATAAATAATAATGTTCGTTGATTATTAAGACTTGAAACATATATTTTTTTTWAAATTGTTTTAATGTTAATTAGATATTTAGATAATATGATGCGTTTGGTCGACCTTGGGTTAATCACGTATCAGCCAAATTTGCTATATACACCGTCTRAAAGAAATTGATATTTTCGTGAAAACAAACACGCACGCAGTGTACACTAGGTACGAATATAATTACTTGTAATACGTGTTCAGTTCCGCCATGATTATATACTATTAGGGAACAAATTCAGTTAATTAATAATAGGTATATATTATATGTATCTCGAGCAGAAACATTTGTTTATACAATAATTGATGAGGACTGAAAATTGGAATTCATATCCTTCTTCTGCAGACATAGTCAGATTTTTATTTAAACATTGAATACATGGGTATCAAAAAACATAATTTATATATGAATTATATATTAATCATGAACTAGCACTTATATACAGACAATAATTATTCTAGTTTGTAAAGTAATTAACGTAGGAATATGATTGAAAATATTAAAGGTCTGGTCTAACTATAGGATGGCGTATTTACAAGGAAAAAATAARCAGAAAAACTGCATAATACACTATAATCTGAAGTTATGTTGCCAAATTATACTAATAAATAATAATTATGCGTCGAAAACAAAATTGACAATCTTCTATTTCGTGAAAATATTATTATATCTAAATATAAATATTTATAAGTCGTAACAGTATATAATATACATAGCATAGAGTATTATATATTAGTATTATAGTATTATTATTTATATCATATAATATTACTCTATGATACATAGTATTTCGTAATAACTTATATATATGAACTATCGTGGCTTTAGATAAATATATTTCAAAGAATATACATTTTTTAAATCATATAAAACCAAATTATATCAAAACATGTATAGTTTTACTTATGGTAATGATAATATAAATATTATTATTTATTGCCCTCAATATTCGTAGTATATTTGTAAATGTTGACGAATCAGTTATAATAATAAATTCGTGCGATTCAAACTTTAATATTCTTTAAACTTTATTATTCTTACTAAAAAATGGCTCTTATGTGATTTTAAATTTTTACTAAATGCATATAAAACTATAAACTCATTCAGCGTAATTAATAAAAATTACGAAGTGACCGAGAAACCGTATTCATAAAAAGTTTCTTTAGAATAAATAATATTTCGGATCCGATCGTAATTCAATTGAAATCTCTCTCGATATAGATAATACACTTGTAAATGTCAGTGGCGTATATAAAAACTAATTTCGGGGGGAGGGGGGATTTGAACTCACAAACTGTAACCAATATAATGGCAAATTATAATTTTATCTCTTGTATGTACTCGAGAGTACTCGCACGTGTCTCAAACGTCTCAAAGTTCTGCATTAACCATAATATATTCACGAACAATATTGATAAATATGACATAAACATTTTTACTCTCGAATTCAAAATTATTGAACATTATAGAATAAAAATATTCAATTTAAAAGTCA